GTTGTTGTTTCTTGTCAGCACATGTCTGCTCAAAAAGGGGACTTTTATTACTGCTTTTTAAAGTGTTCATTTCATGATTAAACTAGTGTTTATTTGTTGTTTTGTTTTAAGCAAGCATCTAACATTTCGCAAATTGAAATGGTGATATTTGCGGTCTGATGAAAGAGTACTGCACGTCTCGCTATTCACGATTCAGTGGTGATTTTCAGCGTCCCATTGCGGTAAGGTACTCCACCTGAAATTGACACTCAATAGTACCCGTTCCTGTTTAAGTGCTAGCTGGTGCACTATACCAGCAACTATTGTGGCACTTTTTGCAAACTCCAGTCGTCCATTATGACGACCACAAAAGACTCAGTCTCAAAATTGGATCAGCCGTTAAAGAAACGACAAGCGTTGCAACCATACATGTCCAGTGACACGGAAGTTAAACCAATGACTGGACAAGAATAATGATTCATTGATTATAGCAGGTCGAGTGTCTCCTATGCCGACAAGACACAATCGTTTCCCAGGCTTTCATTTACACTGTCAAATTCGGCGTAAACATGGACTTTTTTGTGTCCTGCTCTCTATTTTCCAAACTAGAGTTGACCTGTGATAAAAAAATTTAAAACTTCAAAGGGAAAAATCCCTGACATCCAATTTTCTAAGTTAAGCTTTTACTAGTAGAGCCGAAACCTATTTTTGCCCTGGTTTCTGTCACTCTGGTTATTGGATGTAAATTTGGTTGACTGCGTTCAAGATTCTACCCCTCCCGCTTAACCTCCTCCTAATCTCTTTGGTTTTGAGCTCAATTGATTTTTTTGTTTGTTTGTAAAATCCTTTCTCAAAAAGTTACTATAGAATATAAAATCAGTAAATATTAGTTTTTTGCAACTTTTGATGACAGCAAACTTAGAGAATTCAAATGAAACAGTGGGAATTAAAATTATTTTAGACAATTTTCAAAATGTAGAAAAAAAACTTGGTAACCATAGCTACCAATATAGTGGCAGTGTAAAGAAGTCCTTCTTGGGCGTTTATTACTTCATAGGTATTTTTAGCGTGCAAGCGTAGCGTCGTTCAGCCTGTTTGAACAAAACAAGAATATAAAAGATTCAGACAGCTCAGGTCAAAAGTCAGTTTCCGTCACACTTGTTTTGTATTATGTAACAATGTGAGCTCGTCTGATCGGGGTACGACAGGAAATTAAATCGTCCTCCAAGTTCCGCCGGTGTTGTTTGGCTCGTAATTCACACAAACTCTGTTACATATATTTTCTGATGTGTATAACATTTTTTTTTGTCTGAAATAGCTTAAATATTATTGTGAAATAAATGAATAATAGCAATAAATAAAAGAAAAGAAAAGAATTCCATCAGGACTCGTCAGTTTCATTTATGCTAGTACTACGTGTATACATGAGACACAAACAGGTACGGCCGGACATAATGATGATCAGTGTGCGTAACAGGTATTTGTCATCACGGTTGGTTGTGCACCAATGTATGCTATAAAACAAAGAATGTTCTTACTGGCCATTCCTTTATAGAAAGACCCTATCTCATTGGTTTACAAAAGAAATTTATCCTTTGATGGCAGTATTGAGCCAATCAAATTTGTTGTTTCATCTCAGACTCAGAGGGGTCAGATAAGTTGCCGGTTTGTATGGCTAGTGTGTTTTGTGTTTTACAGTGAGTAAATAAACCTATTTTGTGTTTATTCGTTGTGTGGAATCTCTCTAATTGTATCTTGGAACTTTAACGAGAATATTTCAAAACTTGTATTGTTCTCGCTTAATTACAGTTTCTTTTGATGTTTAGCATTCAAGTAGTCTTTTTTGCTTTTTTAGAAATGCAGATTTTCAGAGGTTAAACTACTGAGTAAGAATCTTTTAAGATGAGGAAAAATCAGAGCTCAAAAGTGAATTGTTAGAAAACCTTATATAATAATTTAAAATTTTGTTTTTATTTTATAAGTTTTGTAAAAGCATATACTGTACTCTCATGAACACAAACCCATTGGGAGTTGAATCAAAGATTATAATAGAAAATGCATTTTCAAATGTAATTTCTCATGTCTTTGATTGAATCCAATCAGCCAATCAACAAGCACAGGGCACAATGACATCATTTGTTTCAGTGTTTTTTCATTGACCAATAAAAACCACTTGATTCAGTATGAAATATGAAAATTAAAAATATTCATAAAAATCAAGGGAATGGGTTTGTGGTCGAGATAGTATCGTATATCACGCATCATCTTGTTCGTCTTTCAAATACTGTGTCTTGAGAAATATTCACAGCATACTTGTTTTTTTCCATTGAGGAAACTTGTCCATTCACAGAATTTACTTTAGTCAAGGTTCATTTGTAGTCGAGACAAAAAAGAGAAGTATACTTATTTTTAATGCATTTCAGACCCACCTAAAAAAATGTATGGAATTTTTACAAACTCCAAAAACACTTAAAATAACCCATAAAATCAAATAACGTTCTATGGAGGCATAACGAAACGTAGTTCTTCCTGCTTCGTTGATGCTAATGATGGAAAGTAGTGGTGTCGTTTTAGGCGCCAGTCTTTCACTTGAAGTGGCCAAGTATTTGATCCCCTTCATACATTGTATGCTAATGTACGGCCGCTGAACTGAAACCTAATTTATTGGTCACAAGTAACATTATATCGTCACCTGCAATGGATCACTTCGCGGCTATTGTAACTCGTGTACTTGTAATTGAATAATGACTTGATTAAAAGAAAGCTGTCATGCGTCTGGCGTTTTCTTTGCACGGAGTCAGATTCACGAGCAGGCGTTCTTAATTACGGTTGAATATTTTTTAAAGTTACAACGTGTAAATGATCAAACAAATATGGTTGGTTGATTACTTTGTTGTTTGTTTGTTTGTTCCTGTTTCTTTTCTCTCTGAAAAAACAGTAACACTTGTCATGTTTAAACATGGTGTGTTTTCACAGGTGTGTTGTACCTTTACCCTGTTTCTAGTTCGTGTAGCAGCTTCCTGCTGTGTTTAATTATAAACTCTTGGTGTGATAATTAATATCACAATATTAAAAAGACCAATAACTCAATATATTTGGTCTATTTTCTTGAAAAATATAAAAATATTAGATTTTGTTTTTTTCTCATCGCCCAAAAAACTAAATTAGAGATGCAATTAATTTGATCATTAATCATTTTGATATTATTACAGATTTTTTCATTTTCATACTTTTCTCAATCACTTTTCACCCTTTTTTTAATCATTTTTCTTTCAAATTGTACATTTTAATAGCCCCTTAATGCCGCCAACTTCTACTATTGTCACATTTCACAAAATAAATTTTTTTTTCAGATTTTTTACAAAATTTGATAATTACTTGTACGCATTAGTGAAAGTGTGTCCATTTCTTCCAAAATATTATATGTAAAATGGCAAAGTGTTGCAACTAAATTTTGGCGGGAAAATTGATAGTGCTAAAATGGTTAATGTAAAAATATAAACAAAATGTGTTTTAAACACCATTTTTGGTACCAAAAATTCCTACTACGAAAAATGTTAATTCAAAAATAAAAAACTAATAAATATTAAATATTATATTATGACTGAACAATACAATAATAGAGTAATAATTTATTTATAAACCATATCATTCATATGATGACATAATCACCCAAGTTTGAATTAATTAAATTGTTTATATGTATCTCCCTAGCGCTAAATTTGATCTTTGTTGACCTTTACTTACCGAACTGTACACGTTTGCCGTGGATATACTACATTTAGGAACTGCTTAAACCCCAATTAATCAGCTGAATTCACCAGAAATGAAAATCATGGACAATACTGTAATTAATCAAGCCTTCTGTGGTGGTGATATGAATGAATATACAAATATTCATAAATAAACTGCCATTGTTAAATTTTGTTAAATTCCAAATAAAATAGCTCTGTTGAAAATCAGCTCATGAAATTTGTTGATAAAATATAAAAAATTTTAATTCAAATCTGGGTGAAACGTGAGTAATGGAATTTTAGGGAGAATGCCACAACATTTTTAGCATGATTTTCTCTTCAAAAATTGATGTACATTATGAACATTTAGAAAAAAATTAATCGATTTATGAAAATTTTTCGGAAATTCTGCTGCCGATAAAATAGAGAAAGATTTCAGTGTAGAAATCCTAAAAATATCTGATTTTACATCATCCATATTTTATTTGTTTCATTCTGATTAAAAACTGATGTTGCTAGGGGCATTTTTCCATTTTAATCCAAGTAGCTGGTGCATATCGCCTCTACACTATATTTGACTGAAAGGCAATCCAAATCATGTTCAGTTCTTGTTTTATCAACAACCAATCAGAACTTGTATAACAAGCTTTTTTTTTTTTAGCAGAGGCGAGAAAATGCCTGATTTTGCTTAGAAATGTCATTTGGTCGAATATAATAGTGGCATACATCTGCAACTAGCATTTTAACCTTTTCACCACCAGTTCCCTCTTTTTATCACAAATTTACAAAATAG